CCTGACAGACAGAAAGACAAAAGAAAGAAAGACAGAAAAAGAAAAATCCGGAGGAAAGGCATACAGACGGCCTGACAGAAAGAAAGAAAGAAAGAAAGAAAGAAAGAAAAAAGACAGCCTGACAGACAGAAAGACAAAAAGAAAGAAAGACAGAAAAAAAAAAGAAAAAGAAAGGAAACGGCCTGACAGAGAGAAAGAAAGAAAGAAAAGAAAGACAGCCTGACAGACAGAAAGACAAAAGAAAGAAAGACAGAAAAAAAGAAAATCCGGAGGAAAGGCATACAGACGGCCTGACAGAGAGAAAGACAAAAAGAAAGAAAGAAAGAAAGAAAGACAGCCTGACAGACAGAAAGACAAAAAGAAAGAAAGACAGAAAAAAAGAAAATCCGGAGGAAAGGCATACAGACGGCCTGACAGAGAGAAAGACAAAAAGAAAGAAAGAAAGAAAGAAAGAAAGAAAGACAGCCTGACAGACAGAAAGACAAAAAAGAAAGAAAGACAGTCTGGAGGAAAGGCATACAGACGGCCTGGACAGAGAGAAAGACAAAAAGAAAGAAAGAAAGAAAGAAAGAAAGAAAGAAAGAAAGACAGCCTGACAGACAGAAAGACAAAAAGAAAGAAAGACAGAAAAAAAAAAAAATCCGGAGGAAAGGCATACAGAGGCCTGACAGAGAGAAAGAAAAAAAGAAAGAAAGAAAGAAAGAAAAAAAGCCTGACAGACAGAAAGACAAAAAGAAAGAAAGAAAAGAGAGAAAGACAAAAAAAGAAAAAAAGAAAGAAAGAAAGAAAGAAAGAGCCTGACAGACAGAAAGACAAAAAGAAAGAAAGACAGAAAAAAAGAAAATCGGAAAACATACAGACGGCCTGACAGAGAGAAAGAAAGAAAGAAAGAAAGAAAAGAAAACCTGACAGACAGAAAGACAAAAAGAAAGAAAGACAGAAAAAAGAAAACGGAGGAAAGCATACAGACGGCCTGACATGCCTGACAGACAGAAAGACAAAAAGAAAGAAAGACAGAAAAAAAGAAAATCCGGAGGAAACATACAGACGGCCTGACAGAGAGAAAAAGAAAGAAAGAAAGAAAGAAAGAAAAGAAAAGACAGCCTGACAGACAGAAAGACAAAAAAGAAAGAAAGACAGAAAAAAGAAAATCCGGAGGAAAGGCATACAGAAAAACAGCCTGACAGACAGAAAGACAAAAAGAAAGAAAGACAGAAAAAAGAAAAGAAAGACGGCCTGACAGAGAGAAAGACAAAAAGAAAGAAAGAAAGAAAGAAAGACAGCCTGACAGACAGCAAGACAAAAAAGAAAGAAAGACAGAAAAAAAGAAAATGGAGGAAAGGACAGACGGCCTGACAGAGAGAAAGACAAAAAGAAAGAAAGACAGAAAAAAAGAAAATCCGGAGGAAAAGCATAAAGACGGCCTGACAGAGAGAAAGACAAAAGAAAGAAAAGAAAAGAAAAGAAAGAAAGAAAGACAGCCTGACAGACAGAAAGACAAAAGAAAAGAAAGACAGAAAAAAAAGAAAATCCGGAGGAAAGGCATACAGACGGCCTGACAGAGAGAAAGACAAAAAAAAGAAAGAAAGAAAAAAAAAGAAAGACAAAGACAAAAAAGAAAGACAGAAAAAAAGAAAATCCGGAGGAAAGGCATACAGACGGCCTGACAGAGAGAAAGACAAAAAGAAAGAAAGAAAGAAAGAAAGAAAGAAAGAAAGAAAGAAAGACAGCCTGACAGACAGAAAGACAAAAAGAAAGAAAGACAGAAAAAAAGAAAATCCGGAGGAAAGGCATACAGACGGCCTGACAGAGAGAAAGACAGAAAGAAAGAAAGAAAGAAAGAAAGAAAGACAGCCTGACAGAGAGAAAGACAAAAAGAAAGAAAGAAAGAAAGATAAACAGGCAGACAGAAAGAAAATAGAAAGAAAAGCTATAAAACCATGTGGGGAACTTAAAGACTACAACACAGGTTTAAGAAGGAAACAGTCATTATTTATGTGAAAGAGATTAGAGAGAAGTAAATAATGTTATGAAAAAAAAAAAGAGAATCACACACACTGACAGACAGGGAGACAGAAAGAAAGAAAGAAAGAAAGAAAACAGCCTGACAGACAGAAAGACAAAAAGAAAGAAAGAAAGAAAGAAAGAAAGAAAGAAAGAAAGAAAGACAGCCTGACAGACAGAAAGACAAAAAGAAAGAAAGACAGAAAAAAAGAAAATCCGGAGGAAAGGCATACAGACGGCCTGACAGAGAGAAAGACAAAAAAAAGAAAGAAAAGAAAAGAAAGAAGAAAAGAACAGAAGAAAGACAAAAAAAAGAAAGAAAGAAAGATAAACAGGCAGACAGAAAAAAATAGAAAGAAAAGCTATAAAACCATGGGGAACTTAAAGACTACAACACAGGTTTAAGAAGGAAACACATTATTTATGAAAGAGATTAGAGAGAAGTAAATAATGTTAGAAAAAAAAAAAGAGAATCACACACACTGACAGACAGGGAGAAAGAAAGAAAGAAAGAAAGAAAGAAAGAAAGAAAGAAAGAAAGACAGCCTGACAGAGAGAAAGACAAAAGAAAGAAAGAAAAGAAAGAAAGCCTGACAGACAGAAAGACAAAAGAAAGAAAGAAAGAAAGACAGCCTGACAGAGAGAAAGACAAAAAGAAAGAAAGAAAGAAAGAAAGAAAGACAGCCTGACAGAGAGAAAACTGACAGACAGAAAGACAAAAGAAAGAAAGACAGAAAGAAAGAAAGACAGCCAGACAGAGAGAAAGACAGAAAGAAAGTAAGAAAGAAAGAAAGAAAGAAAGAAAGAAAGAAAGAAAGAAAGACAGCCTGACAGACAGAAAGACAAAAGAAAGAAAGACAGAAAAAAAAAGAAAATCCGGAGGAAAATACAGACGGCCTGACAGAGAGAAAGACAAAAAAGAAAGAAAGAAAGAAAGAAAAAAGAAAGAAAGAAAGACAGCCTGACAGAGAGAAAGAAAGAAAGAAAGAAAGATAAACAGGCAGACAGAAAGTATAAAAATGTGGGAACTTAAAGACTACAACACAGGTTTAAGAAGGAAACAGTCATTATTTATGTGAAAGAGATTAGAGAGAAGTAAATAATGTTATGAAAAAAAAAAAGAGAATCACACACACTGACAGACAGGGAGACAGAAAGAAAGAAAGAAAGAAAGAATGAAAGAAAGAAAGCCAGACAGACAGAAAGACAAAAAGAAAGACAGAAAGAAAGAAAAATCCGGAGGAAAGGCATACATGACAGAGAGAAAAGAAAGAAAGAAAGAAAAGAAAGAAAGAAAGAAAGACAGCCTGACAGAGAGAAAGACAAAAAGAAAGAAAGAAAGAAAGATAAACAGGCAGACAGAAAGAAAATAGAAAGAAAAGCTATAAAACCATGTGGGGAACTTAAAGACTACAACACAGGTTTAAGATAAAAACAGTCATTATTTATGTGAAAGAGATTAGAGAGAAGTAAATAATGTTATGAAAAAAAAAAAGAGAATCACACACACTGACAGACAGGGAGACAGAAAGAAAGAAAGTAAGAAAGAAAGAAAGAAAGAAAGAAAGAAAGAAAGAAAGAAAGACAGCCTGACAGACAGAAAGAAAGAAAGAAAGAAAGAAAGAAAGAAAGACAGCCTGACAGAGAGAAAGACAAAAGAAAGAAAGAAAGAAAGAAAGACAGCCTGACAGACAGAAAGACAAAAAAGAAAGAAAGACAAAAAAAAGAAAATCCGGAGGAAAATACAGACGGCCTGAAGAGAGACAAAAAGAAAAAAAGAAAGAAAGAAAGAAAGAAAGAAAGAAAGAAAGAAAAAAGAAAGAGAGAAAGAGAAAAGACAAAAAAGAAAGAAAAGAAAGATAAACAGGCAGACAGAAAGAAAATAGAAAAGAAAATTTATAAAACCATTTAAAGACTACAACACAGGTTTAAAAAGGAAACAGTCATTATTTATGAAAAGATTAGAGAGAAGTAAATAATGTTATGAAAAAAAAAGAGAATCACACACACTGACAGACAGGGAGACAGAAAGAAAGAAAAGAAAGAAAGAAAAGAAAGAAAGAAAGACAAGCAGGAAAAAAAAAAAGAATGAAGGAAATCAAATGTATGCAAAGAGAACATAAAAAGAAAGAATATGTGAAACAAAGAACTTATAAGAACGAATAAAGTCTAGGAAGAAAAGTGAAACAAAAATGTATCCAAGCTGAAAAATCAATGAAGAAAGAAAATGGAGAAAAACAGAAAATGGGAGCAACGGTTAATGATGGACACATTCTACTTGGTATTTTTGACTCGGACAAACTCGAATAGTAATGCTACCAATAATCAATTTATATTTTAATAATATAAAAGCAATTACTAAGACAATACGATAAAGAGAAAGAACAATTTGAAATATATAGTCAATTTGTTTCTAGTATCATGTAAAATGTAACATGTGGCTAAAATTTACTTAACCATTATAATGCTCACAATCTCGTAACCCATTAGAGTCATAGGTGCAGGACATATACTGCAGCCATAGCATTAGTAAATGTATATAGAGCAATATGTATATAGAGCAATATGTATATAGAGCAATATAGCTTGACGGAGACTATCTCTCTTCAGGTTGATTTTGAATTCAGATTTGTCCTTCTCCCAGTCTGGTTATTACTCAAGGCTAGAGAACTCAGTCTACACTACTATTTAACGCATAGCCAGGAGAGAAAGGACGGATTCGTGACTTTCGCAAAATTATGTGTGCAAAAGTGAACGCAACAGCCTCGCCCGGAATTGGAACTCGGCTCTCCTATTCCACTTTGTGCGACAGTATTTGTTATGCTATCTGCACTTCCATTCCAGTGTTAACGTGAAGAAGTTCGGATAAGTTACTCATTCTTTTTATGCTTATTGCAGTGATCTCAAAATCCATTGACATATTTCATTTTTAGAGAGAAATCTATAAAAATAGCCTTGTGCAAAACTATTTCCAGTATTTATTATTGGTATCTTATCTTTTGGGTAACACATTAGAATAATCCAGACCTTAGTTGTGATCAGATGAATTAAGTACAAACATAGGGAAGGTTATAAGACAACAATGTGTCTTCTTACTGGATTTATTTAACCTTTTAAAACGAGGGATCCTAAGAGAACTATCAATCCTATCAGGATTTATTATTTGTGAGCACAATTTTGGCAACATAAGATATGCAGATGACACCGTGTTGATAGCAGGCAGAAAGAAGAAACTGCTGAAAATGGTAGACAAGGTAATAAAGGAAAATGAAAGAAAGAACTAAACAGACGACAAAGTGAATAGTTGTAATGGACAGCCCAAGATGCGAGCTACAAATTGAAGAATTCAAAATCAAACAAGTATAGAAAATTAAATATCTGAGAAATGTTTAACAGATGACGGGAAATTTGACACCGAAATCCGAAAGCCCATTGGAATAGCGAAAGACCTCTTCTAAAAGCTGAACAAAGTAATAAGAAACTGGAAATTTTCGCTTGGAATCCTCCTCTGTGACTAATGGACAATTTCCTCACAGTGAAGAGAAGATTTTCAGCAGCAGATATACAGTTCTAGAGAATAATTCTGATAAAACAATGGCCACAACATGTTAGCAAAAAGAATGTTTTAAGGAAATGGGAACAAAAAGAACGCATATACTTACAATCAGAAAGAGTCATTTGAAAGTCTTGGGATAAATAATGTGGAAAGAGAGCTTGGGGAATTTGACACTTGCAGGACATACTAAAAGTAAGAAGAAAGGGAAAAACAACGAGTAACATCTAATGAATTGTGTAAACAGAGACTGGGAGGTATCGTGTAAACAGAGATTTGAAAGGATAGTAAAAAGACAAACCTTGCTAAGAGCTACAAAGGATAAGAAACTGTGGAGAGCCATGATCACCTACCTAATGAAATTGTGTAAATAGACGGCAGAATTGATTGGGAGACAAACCTTGCTAAGAGCTACAATATATAGGAAGTTGTAGAGAGCCTTGATCACCTACCTTGAAAAAAACAGCATTTCTTCTTTAAAAAAAAAAAAAGAAAAAAGATGTAAAATATAATCCCGACAGGCCCCCACCCCCAATAAAGAATGGCTAAAAGGCCGGATCTGCCCACCTCCTCATCCTTAATCTCAACTCTATGGCGTCTTTGTGGCATATCCTAGAATTCTTACTTTTGGCCAAAACTCCACGTTAAAAAGAACTTGCCTGTCTTAAAATGATCGAATGAAATGTCATGATTTTATTTTAATTTAAATTCTTTCACTTGATTCTCTGCAATGTCTTCCTACCTTTGGTTTAAGGTTTATTTATGTTACATATATATATGTGGCTAAGATACAAAGACAAGCTGAAAAGCAACTTGTCAGCAGACAATATACCACATAACACCCTTGAGCGCTTAGCTTTGGAGCGGGTAGAATGGAGATTAACGTGTTTTAGTGGACTCAGCAATTTTCCATCTGCTTGTCTGAATCATCTTCAAGAAGCGAGAGCAAGATCTGAATGGTCAGCCAATCTAACAGTGATCTCATCTCACAATTCTCACACCTGATCCATATGTGGCCTCCTTTGTAAATCACTAGCGGGTCTTAAATGCCACTTATTAAGATTATCACATAAACTTTCATAACTCAATCAATAAGCTGGCAGATTGTCATACGTCGAAACCGACAGGAGAGTCCAGATATATATATATATATATATATATATATATATATATATATATATATATATATATACGTTAGTACTGATAATATGTTTTTTAACGTAATGTTAATTGATTGGGGTCGCAGAATTTAATGAACTTTTTTCTTTTGGGCTGGAGATTATGAGAACACAGTTTGAAATTGTTGCTATTTGTACTTATCATTTCATTTTATTTTATTTTTTATTTTTAACTCCCCGGCGCACAGGCATGTATGCATGTTTATGCTGGGGTATCAGTGGGCCGCATCTGAAAGTTGATTCTTTGAAATAATTTATCTGGAAGTCAAACCCGGGATTGTTTTCTGTTTCTTTTAATAGAAATAGATTGCCCAGTCCCTACTCCTCCTACTTTTCTTGAACGTCCATTATTTACTGTTTAAGGTGGAGTTCCCAGTTTCTTTCCTTTTCTCTGGCCTTAATAGTAGTGATGCCATTAATTATTTTGATATTCGTAGATGCTGGCAACGTCTGTTCATACTGAGGGTACCGGTTTAGCAGTACCCTGGTTGCTTTTCCCGACTGGTAGTTAGGAGTCCGAACGTCTTGAGAGGTTGCTCTGATCAACAGTTGCATAATATCGAACTTCTTGCAGTGCCATGTCCCGCATGGAAGGGAGCACCTCCGGTGGGCAACTCTGAGTCCACACTGTGTTGCAGTCTTCGCCAGTTCCCTTCCTGCACATTAGACGACCGACAGATACTACGACCCTAATTATTTCCTTACCAAAATAATACATCAAGACTATAAACACATAAACTCCTTCCCAAGAACTGCTACTTTGTGGAACAGACTCCCGGCAGAATGTTTTCCCAATCATTATAATCTTGGCCCGTTCAAGTCTATGATTAATTGCTCCTTTCTACTCAACTCCATGAATTTCATTTCTTGCCTTTTCTTATGCTCATACAACTTCGCATAATATTCCTCTACCTTGAGTGGTTCTTGAACTTTGTATTGGGTGAACATTATTAGATAAAGTGCTTGTGGAGAGCATTGCACTTGGTAGATAATTCAGAGATCTGGTTTTTTCTTGAGTCTATTTTTGATACTTGAATGAAGTGGATATTTCAACGCCATCACTAATAATTTTTTCCTTTATTCCAATCCGAAATTTACGTTCACCTACATTAAAAAACGGAAATAGTTCTATTAGACGAATAGCTTGGTTCAAAAATAAGATCTTGCGACATCCTGCCCAATGATCTATTTTAAGCTAAAGCTGCAGGTAATAAAACTGAAATATAAGCCTTATAGATCGAGTAAATTTTCTCTAGACAGTTCTTTATAATTACTTTCCTAGTTTAATATTTCTTCCAAAAAGAAAAAAAGAATTAATCATTCGTCATATTTTCAGTGGCTGTTCACCTATAAAATGGCTGCTCAAATTGAGGATCATTCACACGTTTGTTTTTCGTGCAGATTAATTCTTGTATTGAAATTTTGAGTAAAGGGAATGATGAAGAAAATCTTGTTAATGTTAAAAGAGAAAGAAAGAAAGTAAAAAGGAAAGAAAAAGTAATGAAATAGAAAGAAAGAGTAGTAAAAGAAAGAAAGAAAGAAAGAGTAACAAAAGAAAGAAATAAAAAGTACAAAAAAGAAAGAAAGATAAATAAAAAGAAAACGTAGTAAAAGAAAGCAAAAAAAAAACTATTAAAAGGAAGGAAGAAAAAGGAATAAAAGAAAGAAAAGTATGAGCGCCAACAAAAAAAGGAAGAGTAATAAAAGAAAAAGTAATACAAATGAAACAAAGTGTAGTAAAAGAAAGAAAGAAAGAAAGAAAGAAAGAAAGAAAGAAAGAAAGAAAGAAAGAGTACTAAAACAAAGAAAGAAAAAGAGTGATAAAAGAAAGCAATGAAGCGAAGGGAATAAAAGAAAGAAAGAAAGAAAGAAAGAAAGAAAGAAAGAAAGAAAGAAAGAAAGAAAGAAAGGGTGCTAAAAAGAGAAAGAAATGTAATAGCAGAAAGCAATGGTGAAAAGGGAATGAAAGAAAGAAAAAGGAATACAAATAAAAGAAGAAGTAAGAAAGCGTACTAAAAGAAAGAGAAAAAAAGACTAATAAAAGAAAGCAAGGGAAAGAAAGAAAGAAAGAAAGAAAGAAAGAAAGAAAGAAAAACTTAATGTAACGGAAAGAAGTCGTATATAAGAAAACAAAACAAAAGTCAAATTAATTAGATAAAACTAAAATAGAAAGAATGATGTACTTCTGATATAAATAAATAAAAGTATATATTTGTAAATGAAAGATATCGATTAAGATAATGAAAATATATTTAGATCTGATTGTTAAATCGAAAGTCCAACCAATTTGTACGCTGCATCAACCTGCCACACTGATTGTACCAACTTACCCCAGTAAAAAATTAAAAGTATTATTCTAGGAATATTTAACATTCATAAGTTAAATGTACTTATTATGGATTACAACCAATGGCGGATCAGTGGATTTTACGCTTATGCCATTGAATAGAATGTCGCAAATGTTTCATATTTTAAAAGGAGTTACTTTAATCTTCCCATTGATATAAATATCATATATTTATTGACAACCGATTAACATATTTTAGTGATTTATGAATACAAAACAAAATTCGATGATTTTTTATAATAGCAAAAAAATTTTCAAAATTATAAAAATATATTTAACTAACACTAAACAGGAACATAACTTTTAGGGTTTTCGAATAATCACAGCTTCAGAATTAGTTTCGCTTGGGATATTTATTACATAAAATAAAAGTTAACCACAGCTCATTCAAGTTAAAAGCATTTAAGATGATAAAATGTCTTTGAAGATCACAAAATTGCTATTGAAATACAATTGGTGTCCATTGCTACTCTACTAACCATCTCCAAGAAATCTACGGTGAAATCACACTGAAAGTAATGGTTGCCGTTCGATCACCGAAGTTAAGCAATTACGAGCCTGGCCAGTATACCGTTGGAAATAGACATTTATTGCAATCCGTTACAAAGTAGCGTTCAAAAAGCTATTGTTGTTTCTTTACCTTCAGTTAAGTGTACACGATTAGAGATAGAAATATAATAGACATAATCCTAAGTATTCTCGTTTTATAGAATTTGGGTCAAGATTTGAAAAAATCCTCATATAAAGATAATGGCTTTTTCGCAATAAAAAGCAACCAAATGTCAGAAGAATACCATAAAAATGTCATAATTACTTGATTCACCTGTCCTAACAGGTGGTCATTATATTTCTATAATTACTGTCTATTCAAATACATTTTCTATCACTGTTAATATTTCTGTCTTGTTAAAAGCCTTATAAGTTATATTTACCTCTTTTTACGTAAATAGTTACGTAAATATTACAAAAATATAACAAAAATCCCTTTTTTTACAGTGAGGTTCACCCTTTAAAAGGCCAGGGTGCTATAAAAATAATTGTTGTAAAAATTTATTATTCATCGAAAAAAGATATGAATTCACCTCTTCTCTGCCAGTTAATTAATAGGACTTGTATCACTAAATCGATATTATCTCTTCTCACCCACTAAATTGTTACAATGTAAAAGTATTTTTTGTCTGTAAATAACTTTCAAAAGGGTTGATAAGACGTAGAAAACAAATCAATAAATTAAAATTGTGTGTGCACGTACATTAAGTGGCACAAAAACACGTAAGTCACTCATGCAGAACGGAAACTGATTACGCACGCGCATGCAAAATCATACATAGGCAGTGCGTGACAGACAGATAATCAGCATTTCTTTCATTACATCTATTTCTCACTTCTAACAATATACTCATCACTAAACCGGTCCCTCCACCAGGTTTTTTTGTGATAAGGATAGCTAGACACCAAGCAGGATTAAAACCAAGACTTGCTAAAAGGAAGTTGAAACATTTCTGTAGAGTAAATTACCATCGAGAATCATAGAGTAGGTTGTGCCCCATAGCATGTATACAGCCAATGTGGTCAGTACGCAGAGTTTCCTTAAAAATTGCTAGAACTTAGCCCAATCACTGATCACGTGTCTGTGACCAAGGTGACACTTTAACATCGGCCGTGTTTCGATCTGGAGAGAGATTGCTTCCGCTAGGTCTACTTGCCCACTAAGACATGTTTCGCATGAATAATACCTCTTTGACATTCAACCCAGATATGTGGATGAAACTTGTCGAGAGCTCAGTAATACAGCAATCCTGCAATCTCGCCTGATCATGGGACTACAACCGCTGCTATTGATGATGATACCAGCATCAAAACTATCTTGACTCCGCAGGTTGTACTATTTGCGAACGTTTCACTGTTAATATAATAGCTATAATTAGTTTTTGTGATTCTGTTTTGGGATGCTAGTATGCTTAGGTAAATATTAGTCACCATTGTGTTGCGGGAATCAACAATTTGTGTAGTCAGAATTTACGGGCTTCTGGCATTTTTATCCCACAAATAATATTGGCGGAAGAATGCAAGTCTGGTTAAAATCAGTAACACAAAACAATAAATATAAAACAAACGACAATGCATGTTATTAACAAAAGGAATTGCATCTGTAGACAATTATAACGAAAGGAAAAACATTAGGACTGAGATGCCAGCCTAGTAGCACGTTTAAATTCATGCAGTTTAGGAACCAGCGAAAGTAGCTCGTCGGAGCAGTTACCGTGAAAATATTTGTAGAAAAGACAGAGGGAGGCGACGGCACGTCTTTGAGAAAGTGAAATGGACAAAGATGTATACCAAAAGCTAAGCAGAGTATTAAGAGACAGAAAAAATTCGTTGAAAACAAAGACAAGAGTATTGAACTGTTATGTCATATCTGTCCTTCTGTATGGCAGCAAATTCTGGACAATCTCCTCAAAGATGAGGAAGCGTCTTGAAGCAAGAGAAAAGCGGTTCTACAGAAAGATGCTGAGGATAACGTGAGCAACAGAGAGGTTTTGGGGAGAATGGAAACAAAAAGGAAACATGCTTAACACCAGCAAGAGGCAGTTGAAAATTTGGCGGCACATAATGAGGAAGGAGGGCTTGGAAAATCTGATACACTCAGGATAGATTGAGAAAATGACGGACAGAGTAAAGCAGCGCGTAATATACTTGATGGGCTTCAGCAAATGGATATTAGAACAGGGTTTGGGGAAAAATAACAAAAAGACAAAACTCATTAAGAGCTACAAGGGACAAGAAGATAAGGAGGGCCATGATTGCCTAATTTCTGGGACGAGTGTCGCTGTTTAAACGCGGGTTACTGTTCTCGTCTTTTTTTGTCATCACAACGTTATGGCCGTTTGATCCATGTAATCGTCGAGAAATTTCCAACTGAAGCTTTTATTAAACCCACGGAGGTAGATTTTTCTCATTCCCTTGAAATATCTCGTCTTTTTCATATTTCTTCTAACGTTGGTTCATGAAATTTGTGACATTGTAATTGTGGACTCAATTCCTGGGCCGGGCAGTGTGTACTTGGACCCAGTGGAAATAGGGCGAGTAATAAATAAGCCGTACTAAAATGATAAGTGGCTGAAATATCCCGAGACATGGACGTTGAAACGAGAACAATATGCTCTATTTAAATAAACGGTTCAGTTGGAAATTCCCTGAAAGTTACTCGGATTGACATGATGAAGGTCAAAGAACACAACGACCGAAAAGTTGTGATAGCAACAAAAAATGATGACAATAGGGAAAGGTGACGCGAATAGAAAATGAGATACAAAGAGATGAAGCGAATATCCAGAAGCACTGAAAAAAAGATAAAGAAAAATTTAAAAATTTAAATACAGGGTGGGCCAAAAGTAGGCTTACAGTTGTTTCACTAATTGTTCCACGTTTAAGATCTAAATTCGTCCAGCTGTTCTTTCAGCAACATTGAGCACCTCCCACCCATTATGCTTTGACAGTAAGGAGCTACCTTAACCAAATTTTTCCACAGTGTTAGTTCGGAAGAAGTGACAGCATCGAATGACCAAAACGTTCACCTTACCTAACACCAATGGATTTCTTTTTTGGTGGTGTAGAAAAGAACAAGTCTTACAAGAGAAATCCTCACACAGTGGACGAATTAAAGGAGTACATCTCAGAAGTATTTATTGACATTGATCGGGATTTGCGTCGTGCTGTGTGTCGTAATATTCTGGAGAGGTTTGAGAAATGTTGCAATGTTGAAGGAGGACATTTTGAGCACTTAAGAGATTAAATTCTGCTAAAAAATGTGAGTAAATGTACATAAAGAGTTTTGAAGAAATATGATTGTAAAAAATAAATGTAATAAAATGTATTAAGAAAAAGTAAAGTGCATACCTACTAAGCGTAAGCCTACATTTGACCCATAGAGTGAGAAAAAGGAAAAGATAAGAAAGAAAATCCTACCTTAGAAACAGGAAGTGTTCTACGATGAAATAAAGAAAACAGAAAATAAAAAAAATCTACAAAGAAAATAATTCAGATTATTAAAGTGAAGTATTAAAAAATAGGAAAAATTCATTCGAAACAAAGAAAATACTGTTACGTACTGATCATCTTATATGGCAGTAAATGCCGAATAATCTCCTCACAGATTAAGAAACTTCAGGCGACAGAAATGTAGTTCTACAGAAGAATGTCGAGAATACCATGAACTAAACATCGAGGAAAAATGGAGGCAGAAAGCACACTTATACTTAACATAAGAATGACAGAGTTGAAATTTCTGGGGTACGTAATAAGGAAAGACGTGAGGCAAACCATTCTTCCACTATTGAGAAAAAATAAATAAATAGTAAATAAAATTTCGGTATTTAGGCGGAGACGTCAGACGTAAAGAGTTGAAGTAGACTTTTAAAGGAACCGGAAACTCAATTCTAAACGGAATATACGGGATAAACTTCTACTCCTGTTCATAAGCTCAGACATAATATAAGGTCACAATTACATGACATTAGAAGTAAAGAGTTGAAGTAGACTTTAAAAGGAATCGGAAACCCAATCCTAAACATGAATTATGGGATAAACTGTTCATAAGATCAGGGAGTAGTTAGAACCGGACGATAGGTTAGCCTATCTTGGCGTGGAAAAAATAAATAAATAGTAAATAAAATTTCAGTGTTTAAGCGGAGGCGTTAGATGTAAAGAGTTGAAGTAGACTTTAAAAGCATTTTTGAGTAATTTTT